AAATGCTGACTAAGATTCACGTCTCCTCAGAAGGCACCATTGAGGAGAAGGGCCAGGGCATGCTGCAGGTACATAACCCAACCAGACTTGCTGTCCCCTGCCTCATTCTGTACCTGCTATCTTCTTCTCCTTCCTCAATCAGGTCTGGCTCTGGTTTATTGAAATGATATTATATATTATATTTATACTTGTGTATCACAACACTGTTTTTCTATAAAATATACTTGATAAGTTGGATTACCTCTACATTGCTTATATTGCTTCATTCTGTATCCTCTTGTAATACTGCAATATCACTCATGCAAGCTGCTGTGGAGTCTTCTGTGCTGAGTTGAAGGTCTCGGGCTTGTGGCAGGTGGACTTTGCCAACAACTTGGTAGGAGGGGATGTGTTTGGGAACGGACTGGTCCAGGAGAATATAATGTTCCTCTGCTACCCAGAGCTCATTGTGTCCAGGCTTTTTACTGAGAGGCTGGCCAACAACGAGTGCCTCCGGATCACCGGTAAGAGCATGTATGAGGTACCTCATACTAATGTGACCTCCACAGTCTAGTGGGAAACCACACAATGGTCTGGTATCTCTGTTACTTCTCAAAATGTCTTGTAACCTTTGGAACAATATGATTTAAAAATATGTATTAATCACTGATCAATTAGGTATTTTTTCAGTTCCAGGGGAACAGCACAGTTTTGTCCAAGCTAGGACGTTACTCTACTGATTCAAATAAACGATGGCTGGGTTCTGCTTCAGTTAGCTTGGAGTTTTAGTGCTGGTCTTAGGCAAAAATGCACTCGCATTTGTCATAGCCTGTGCCATAACAATATTTGGGCTCCCCCTACAGGTCTCCAGCAGTACAACAGATACACTGGCTTCAGCGACACCTTTGTCTGTCAGGGATTTTATATAGACCAATGCCAGAGGTAACCCATGAACACGTCACTGCCATTTCCAGTTGACTTTATGCCTCTGCACCCAAGTTTTGCTGCAGATGCAGCTTTTCCCCACTTGCAGAAACATACTATGCTCTTCTCATAGATCTCCAGTGCCACAAGGTAACGTGCATGTGTGCTAAGTGAAAGGATTCTTCAGACTAAGTGAAAAACTAACAAATGTTAATCTCTATCCAAAGGGATGAATGGCTCAGACGGCAGAGAAAAATGGTCGCCATTGACGCATTGAACTTCAAAAACCAGAAGGAGCAGTACGACATGACACGCGTAATCCGTGAGCTGAACAAGGTTGGTTGGCCTGCACGGTCTCACCCTGTTACTGTGACTAATCATGGTAAGGAAACCATTGTGGTGTGACCAATGTCAATGGGGTGCTTGGAAACAACTCTGATCTTATCTTCTCTACAAAGTGGAAACGTTCAGTACATTAGGATGCCAAGAAGAATTTGTCAGGCCAAGAAAATTTTTAGAATA